AATTATCATGCTTCCCTGGTAGCTCAGCTGGTAAAGAATCCACCTGCAATGCAGGAAACCCTGGTTCGATTCCTGGGTCGGGAAGATCCCCTGGAGAAGGGATAGGTTACCCACTCCAGTATTCTTGGGCTTCCCTTGTGACTCAACTGGTAAAGAATCTGCCTGCAATGTGGGAGACCTGGGTTCAATCCCTGGGTTGGGAAAATCCCCTGGAGAAGGGAACAGCCACCCACTCCAGTATTCTGGCCTGGAGAACTCCATGGACTGTATAGTCCATGAGGTCACAGACTCCAAGACTCAGTTACCTTCACTTTAAACTATTTCAAAAGTTGCCAGTTTGTAGCCAATAGGAAAGCGAAGTGAGAAGGAAAGAGGCCAGGCAGCATCACTTCTGCTCATATTCCATTGGCCAGAACTTAGTCACGTGGGCATGCCTTGCTGCAAGGAAACCTGGGAAATGGACTCCCTCTCTGGGCAGCCATGTGCTCCACTAAAATCCAAAGATTTTACTCCCGAATACAAAGAAGAGGAGAATGAATACAATTCTCAATCTGTACATCTACGTGCAATCCAGAATCTAAATATACTTGGAATGCAAAAGAACTCTATGGTTTAAAATTTTACTTTGAGAATATTTATTTTCATTATATTACCATAGAATATTAATATATTTCTATATTAACATTGAAGAAGTTTAAAATTTGCATTCATTTTATCAGAGGGATATTTTGTGTTTTATTATCTTTCCTTATCCAAACTTTATGATATGCAAGTGATGTATGATAAGCAATGCATATAATATGAATCATGTTGTATTCTCAGCTCTCCTTCTCAGCACTGACAGGTTTTTCCAGAATGCAATAGTTCTGCACAACAATATTCAGTTAGATCTGATGATTGTTGGTGTTATTTTCTTTATTTAATTGAATAGATTCCAGCTTCTTAGTTGTACACACCAGTGAGAACATGATGAAAATTGTGGATCCTTCTGTCCGTCTCTTTGCCACCCCATGGACTGTAGCCTACCAGGCTCCTCTGGCCATGGGATTCTCCAGGCAAGAACACTGGAATGGGTTGCTATGCCCTCCTCCAGGGGATCATCCCAACCCAGGGATCAAACCCAGGTCTCCTGAATTGCACACAGATTCTTTATCATCTGAGTCATTGGGAAGCCCCTCTACTTAAACATACCAACAATTTAGCAGATAATTTTAGAGCGAATAGAAACACCTTCCCCCACAAAGCTCAGTTTCAGAGTGTCTTGATTTTCCCCCTCTTCCACAGAAACCTGGGAAATGAATCTACCACAAATGTTGAATTGAGAGCTAGTGATGCAATGAAGCAGGGCTGGTGGAGAATGATCTCTGGCAACAATGACAGCTGGGATCAGCAGCCCCAGTGCTATTGTAGTACCAGTGTTACTGGCCGCATCCAGAGTCATTCTGAGCAGGATCAGCAGAACAAGCCAGTGTCTAGCGCTTTGTGGTGCAATCAGTGGCTTCTGGGCTGAATGAGTTCTTCTGCACATTAAGCCATGTTTTCTAAACATTTCATATAAGCTTCCTTTTTTCGGAATATGGTTAACTTCTCCAGCTAACTGTAAAATTTTCCATTTAAAGGGACTCTTTCAAAGTTACAGGCCTAGGAAAACAAACCATTAGAAAATGATTGAGAGGCTCTTGGTTTCTTTATATGCCAAGAAGGTCATGGAGATCCAAGAAAGCCCGATAGACAACAGGAGAGTCAGGACCCAAGCATGAGAGTAAGAGGATTATGATTTTGTCCCTCAGTGTCAGGAGCTCAATCATTTTCAATTTTGTGCCCCATCATTAATAGATTTGAACTTTCTCCCTATTTCTGCCTGTCTGTATTTTCCCATCTGTTTTTGTTTGGACCACTTTCTGACCTCTCTTTCCCTAACAGCCAGATCTCTAAAAGAGGGGAACTCAGATTAGACCTCAAGCCACCATCAGCCAGAGCCTTTATAACAGGCCTGTTCTGAGGCTGTTGGCCCATCCGTCTTGGGTGGGGTGCTCATCCCACCTGATCACCTGCTGTGAGGAGGGGCAGTTGTTTGGCTGGAACCTGGTCAGCTACATCTCAGGCAACCAGGAGATCTGTGCATAGACAGTTTTCCTCTGAAGAAACTGTGGTTGGTGGGAACCTGCAGGTTAATAAAGCCAGATAACTAATCTGTAGAGTCAGAGAATGGAAATGTAGGTATTCCCATGGACTTCTTCAGAATCTCCTGGGACCCTTTTTGAAATATTTAACTTGGGGTTTCACTCCAGATCTACTGGGTTAAAATCTCAAGGATGAAGATTGGAAAACTCTGTATATTTTGTCTACCATAGACTTGATGTTGTGAGGGAACAGAGAGGTGTGAAGGATGGGAAGGGTCAGACTGAAGACTGGGAAGTCTTGATTCTCTGAATGAATTTGTAGGGAGTGCTAGTGGTAAAGAACCCATCTGCCAATGCAGGAGACATAAGAGACCCAAGTTCAATCCCTGGGTCAGGAAGATCCCCTGGAGGAGGGCATGGCAATCCACTCCAGTATTCTTGCCTAGAGAATCCCATGGACAGAGGAGCCTGGCAGGCTATAGTCCACAGGATCACAAAGAGTCAGACATAACTGAAGCAACTTAGCATGCACGTGATGTGCTCTAGTGGCCCTGTGGGTGAAAACACATTTGACAAAGTGGAAATACTTGGGACTTCCCCTGTGGTCCAGTGGTTAAGACTTCGCCTTCCAAGGCAGGGGGTGTAAGATTGCTAAGATTGCACAGGCTTCATGGCCAAAAAACCAAAATGTAAAACAGAAGCAATATTGTAAAAAAAAAAAAAAAATGCAGTAAAGACTTTAAAAGTGATCCATATTAGGAAAAAAAAAAGAAAAAAACCTTAAAATGGAAGTGCTGAGGTGAGGTTGTTTCCTTCAGGGAAATACAATGTAAAGAATGTGTGTCCCTGTAGTTCCAAAAGTTTACACTTAGGACAATCTGTGAGACCAGCAAGAGCTAACATTAAACCCAAACACCATGAACTTTTGGTGCGGCATCAGTCCTGGGTGTTCATTGGAAGGACTGATGTTGAAGCTGAAACTCCAAAACTTTGGCCACCTGATGCGAAGAATTGACTCATTTGAAAAGACCCTGATGCTGGGAAAGATTGAGGGCAGGAGGGAAAGATTGAGGGCAGGAGGAAAAGGGGACGACTGAGGATGAGATGGTTGGATGGCATCACTGACTTGATGGACATGGGTTTGGGTGGACTCCGGGAGTTTGTGATGGACAAGAAGACCTGGCGTGCTGCCATTCATGGGGTCGCAAAGAGTTGGACATGACTGAGCGACTGAACTGAACTGAACTGAATACAAAAAGCTGAGAGTTGGCTTCCCTTTTTTCTCTTATCCATAACAGATACATTTAGTGAAATATCATAAGCAACATGAAAAGCAATTTTCTCAAATGTTACCTGAATTATCAATAAAATTAAATGTTCAGAAAATAAAGAAATCTTTTGTTTTAATGGGAGAAAGCTTATAAACTATTTTACAATGTCTGAAAGGATAAGTTGTTTCATATCCTAAAAATTGGCATCACTATAAGAAATAAGCACATACTTCTGGATATTATTATCTTTATTACAAAACAAATATTTTATGTTGAGGTAACATTTCAAAGGGTATTAGGCAATATCAATTGAACTCTGTACACACAATTTTGCTATGTGCAGCACAAATAGAGGACTCCAAGAACAGTTTTTCTAGCTTTGCACATAGATTGATCTTAGAAAAAAATTAAGCTGATAGTTGTCTATTTAAAGAGGAATTTCACTTTTCCACCCTCTCCTACCCAGTCCTCCATATCATCACCAGTAGTCAGGGAGGTGACGCTCATGGGAGTTTCACACACACACACACACACACACACACACACACAAATTAAAAAGGGTTAATTAATTGAAAAAAATTTTTGCTTCTCCAAAACACACTACTGTGCCATAATTTGAAAACAGTCACAAACTAAATGTTTATTCATAAAGGATTTTCTGTTGCTGATACCAAGGATAAATAGAATTGTCTAGACTTAAATGGAGAAATCCCATGCAATGTTCTGATTCCAGTGTCTTTCCTGCTGTGAAGCCTGCTCTAATTCTCAAGGCAAAGTGCGCCCTCTTCTGTGAATCCCTGTGTTTTGTTCATATCTGTGTTAATAGCTCTCACCACACTGGATTGTAATAATTCTTGCTTTTGTCATATTTATCCCTTTTCAGCTTTATTTATTCCTCTATAAGCTCCTCAGAGATCAAACCAGTCAATTCTAAAGGAAATCAACCCTGAATATTCATTGGAAGGACTGATGCTGAAGCTGAAACTCCAATACTTTGGCCACCTGATGGGAAGAGCCCACTCATTGGAAAAGACCCTAACGTTGGGAAAGAGGGAAGGCACAAGGAGAAGGGGGCAACAGAGGCTGAGACAGTTAGATAGCATCACTGACTCAGTGGACATGAATTTGAGCAAACTCCGGGAGTCAGTAGCGGACAGAGGAGCCTGGCGTGCTGCAGTCCATGGGTCACAAAGAGATGGACACGGCTTAGAGACTGAACAACAAGAAAACCTTCTCCTCAGGAGCAAGAGACAAGTCTTTAAGCTTCTTGACCTCCTCCCCACCCAGCGCTGTGCCTGGTACATAGCACAACCTGTGTAACTGTGCGTTAGGTTAATGAGTTAGGAACTATTTCAGCTGTGAAGCAACAATGCACATCTTTCCTTGCTTCGGGTCTCTCATTGAGGGTGTTCTAGTGACATTTCTCATTATTGAAACTTCTATGGTTTGATAACATCCTAGACATAAATATCGAGCATTTCCTTTAAGAAAGAAATGGCCTCGGGCTATTCTTCTGATACAAACGTCAATAAATTACAGTTATGATTTTCCCTGGTCTCCAGCCTCCAAGACGCCTGTCTGTGAGAGGCGCTCAGGCACGCCCATGCTAGTAGCCATCTTGGCAATCATTGTCATCCTGATCTCCGATGGGTTTGTTGTGGTAAGCGTCGACTGTTAATTTTCTGCTTTCTCCCTCAGTGTTTTTGGCTCGGGCCTCTTCCTCGCTGCTTGACACGCTCTCGGTCGAGTTGCTGTCTTCTTTCGATCTGCTGCTGTCCTGGGAATCGCTACCATCGTCTTCCTCAGACGGGCTCTCCCGGCTCCGGCTCTGGGTCTCGGCGCCCTCCTGGCTAGAGCTGTTCTGCTCTTCAGTGGACTCCGGGCTCTCCTCCGAGGACCTGAGGTTCTCATGGGATTCGCTGTCAGCCTGCTCCTCTGTGGATGTGCTCTCTGAATCGGAGGGCTTATCCAACACGTCCTCCTCACTGGATTCACTGTCTGCCTGAGGTTCTCTGGAGTGACTGGTGGCGTTATCAGGGTTGTCACCCCTGGATTCATGCAGCACCTCTTCCTGAGATTCGCTGCTGTTTTCTTGAGAAGGCAGGTCGACCTCTTGACTAGACTCGCTGCTGGGGTCTTGGACATCCTGACTGTCCTCCGGGGACCGGTTCTCCTCACTCTCTTGTCGAGATTCACTCTTGCTGTGTTCCCTGGATTGGCCGAGGCCGGCTTCCTGGGAGTCGGGGTTTTCGGTGGAGTCACTCATGACTTCCATCGTGCGGCTATCGTCAAGCTCCCCTCGGCCATCTTCCTCAGGAAGGCGAGACTTCCTGAAGAATTTCCTGCGGGGATACCCCGCCGCTGGGCTATCATGGGAATCCTGCGTGCTTGCCTGCTCCTCATCGTCCCCTTTCGATTCTCTTGACTTGAGGCCGGCACGGCTTATTCGGGAGTTGCCCCACTCGCTCCTGTAGGCGCCCGGGTCATCGCTCTGCATCCCTTCATCATCGAACTCAGAGCCATCCCCATGGCTGCTGTCCCCATCACTGCCGCCTCCCACCCAGTGCTCCTCACTCTCGCTGTCTGGAGTGGAGTCACCGCCCTCGGGCCTGCTGTTCCCCTCATCCTCAGGGTCAAGGTCCCTGCTCTCGCTGGTGGTATCCTGGGCCCCCTCATCCCCTTGGGGGGCGCTGTCTTCCCTGGATCGTGTGGTGTCAGCCGAGTCTTCGTCGCTTCCAAGCCCGGAGTCCCCTCCTGATCGTCTCTCTTCGGGTCCTGGGCCACCGTCATCATCACCAAAGGTGTCATCTCCACTCTCGTCTTCATCATCATCTTTATTATCGCCTTCGCTTCCTCCCCTCCGAGACAGGCCGCCAGCTGGTCTACGCTGATCATCAAGGCCCAGGACCTCCTCGGATTCTGTGCTGTCACTGGGGTCTTCATTTGCCTGGAGTTTGGGGTTAACAGACACGGTCAGTACCCCCAGGAGCTGCTCTAGAGGGTTGTACCTAATGCCCATCTAGGTTCTTTCTGTTTTCTTCTTCCTGGGTCCCTCATCTAAGCCATGTTCAGTTGTACGGCTCAATAATGTCTCAAATGGGGGTTAAAAAAGAAGGAAGGGAAGTTGAAAGTCAAGTTGTCCCATTTTCCGTAGGCACCATTTACTCAGTGCTGCACAAATCTTTTCAAAATGTTCCCTAGAAATCACATTTATGAAACTCAAATCATATTGTAAGTATGAGCCCTTAAAGGATACTTTCAGAAATTTTTTGTAAATTAAAGAATTGGGTTATAATACTCCTCAAATTATTTGGTGTAGAACAGTAAAAGTGAACTTGTTAGTCGCTCAGTCGTGTCTGACTCTTTAGATCCCATGGACTGTAGCCCACCAGGTTCCTCTGTCCACGGGATTCTCCAGGCAAGAATTCTAGAGTGGGTTGCCATTCCCTTCTCCCGAGTATCTTCCAGACCCACGAATGGAACCCAGGTCTCCTGCATTGCAGTAGATTCTTTACCATCTGAGCCACTAGGGAAGATATAATACTCATCAAATTATTTGGTTTAAAATAGAGTTTTTTTTTTTTTTTAATACTGGGTGATTTTGAAATGACTCAGGTATTTTTTTCAAATCAACTCTGGGCCTGGGGAAGGAAATGTATTACAGCTGGTGAATGAAACCCTTGGCTGAAATGAAAGTATAATATTGCAGTAAGGTATAGATCTCACCAGAACCACATTTATACTGGCTTGCACAGGCAGAGAGTTGCCTATAGAAGGCTCAGCTGAAGGAGTGCAGCTGGGATGATCTCTGAGTTCTAAGTGTAGCTCAGAGAGATGATCCCCCAAAATAAACAATTGGATGCTCTACTCAGATAAGGAAGATCAGTGAGCCTTCATTCATCACACCCTGGAAAAATCTACTCTGTCTCTCTCTACTGCTGCTGTTTAATCACTAAGTTGTGTCCGATTCTTTGTGACTCCATGAGCTGTAGGTTACATGGGATTTCCCAGGCAAGAATACTGGACTGGGTTGCCATCTCCTTCTCCAGTGGCTCCTCCTGACCTGGGTTCAATCGCTGGCTTGGGAAGATCCCCTGGAAAAGGGAAAGACTACCCGCTCTAGTATTCTGGCCTGGAAAATTCCATGGGCTGTATAGTCCATGGGGTCGCAAAGAGTTGGACATGACTGAGCGACTTTCACTTTCAAGCTGTCAGCTTTTCTATCTCCCAGGGCCACAGATGAGAAACTGTTTTTTTTTTTAAAAGAAGTCATTACTGAAGCAGCTGTCCTCTTAAAGTTTCCTCAGGGCAAAAGCTAGTCTCTCCTTTAGCAGTCTAGCAGGATTCTGGGCACAGAGGAAGTCTTCAGGCCCCGAAGGTGTCACACACGAACCAGAATGTTTTTCTCTGCCTGGTCTGAACTGCTCCAATTGTAAAAGCAATATCTGAGATTTATGAGCAAGCTGTTAATTGTCTAACAGAGTTTGTGACTTTCTCTGTGTATGTGTGTGTGAGTATGTTCTCTTTAACTAGAGGAACATTTAGGGCCACAGCGTCTATCATCTGGCCCCAGTGATAAATATGGAATGAAGAGCATGTCTACCTCTGAATTCTCCCACTCTTTTTTCCTTCCTATTTTATAGGACTTTTTAGACAGCATAACCAAAGTTTAGAACATCTTATATTTAGAACAGTCACCAGGTAATTTAATCTAACATCATTTCCTTCAACTCCTAAGTAGCCTGGAAAGTTGAGAAAGGTCTGTTTAATTACCTGTTCCTCCGAGCTAAGTTTACTTTCTTCTGATGACTCACTGCTCTCCTAAAAAGAAAAAAAAATGTTGTTTATTTTTCATGGTAGTAATTCCTGAGGAAAGGAAAGAAAACATGGCACACATCAATCTCTTGTGGTTTGGATTTGCGACTTTCCAAATGTCCTGAGATGATAAGAGTGTCAAAGTGATTTTATGAGATATTTATGACAAAAAATAAATTAGAGTGTTGGGGAGTTTTGGATGATCATGTACACACTGCTATATTCAAAACGAATAACCAATAAGGACCTACAGCATAGCACATGGAACTCTACTCAAGGTTGTATGCCAGTCTGGATGGAAGGGGGTGGTGGTTGGGGGAGAATGGATACATATATATGTATGGCTGAGACCCTTTGCTGTCCACCCGAAACTACCACAACATTGTTGATCAGCTATACCCAATACAAAATAAAAAGTTTAAAGTTTGAAAAAATAAATGAGATAGTTACCAAAGGTGGTGTTGGTGTCTGAGCCAAATGACCCTGTAACAAAGGAAGGAAAACAAGTTACTCCTTCACAGATGGATAATATCATTGCAAATATTCATAATAATTTTAGGGTTTTAGCTTATTGATAGATATTCTATATTTACATAAGTATTAATGATATTTTATAATGAAATAGCTTAAAAAAGTGAATGACTATGACATGACCAATGGCCTAAAAAGGTCTTGTATATAAAAAACTTAGAAGATTTTTATATTTCCCATAGTCAGAGAAAAATAAAATTTCTTTGAAGAAAAATACACAACCCAGAAAAAAAATGTAAGATAGAAAAAATAGCATTGGAACTCATAAACCCAGCTTTAAATGTCAGTTCGCTCCTTGGCTTGTGTTTTAGCCCTGAAAACTGTCTTGAGGGTAGTACTGAAATTCATGTATTCCAGGAAACACTTAGGTCTTACATAAACTTTGATGGTTGGACAATTCACTTCACCTCTGTGATGTCAGTTTCTTATTCCTAAATTTAGAATATTAGCAACCTCTCTGCTTATTGCCCCTGGTTGCTGTGAGGATGAATTTGGCTGATGAAAGCCTCTGGAGAACCATTCAGTTTGATATAACCAGAAGAAATGATCCATTTTGAGAACATTCAAAAGGATTATAAATATCCTTTGTAAAATTGAGTAGTGGACAAAACTGAATAGAAAAAAGCCACCTGTCTTGAGTCATGTCAGTTCAGTTCAGTTCAGTTCAGTCGCTCAGTCGTGTCCGACTCTTTGCGACCCCATGAATCGCAGCACACCAGGTCTCCCTGTCCATCACCAACTCCCAGAGCTTACTCAAACTCATGCCCATCGAGTTGCTGATGCCATCCAACCATCTCATCCTCTGTCGCCCCCTTCTCCTCCCGCCCCCAATCCCTCCCAGCATCAGGGTCTTTTCCAATGAGTCAACTCTTCACATGAGGTAGCCAAAGTACTGGAGTTTCAACTTCAGCATCAGTCCTTCCAGGGAACACCCAGGACTGATCTTTAGCATGGACTGGTTGGATCTCCTTGCAGTACAAGGGACTCTCAAGAGTCTTCTCCAACACCACAGTTCAAAAGCATCAATTTTTTGGTGCTCAGGTTTCTTCACAGTCCAACTCTCACATCCATACATGACCACTAGAAAAACCATAGCCTTGACCAGACGGACCTTTGTTGGCAAAGTAATGTTTCTGCTTTTTAATATGCTATCTAGGTTGGTCATAACTTTCCTTCCAAGGAGTAAGCGTCTTTTAATTTCATGGCTGCAGTCACCATCCACAGTGATTTTGGACCCCAAAATATGAAGTCTGACACTGTTTCCACTGTCTCCCCACCTATTTCCCATGAGGTGATGAGACCAGATCCCATGTAAGATCACCAAAATTGCAAAATGCTAAGTCTGAAACTTAATAGTCATAGTTCTGATTTATTTTACTTTCTTTAATTTTATAGGAGCTCTAAGAATGCCTGCACCACCTCTGGTGCCCTCTCCCCACCTCCTCTCCCCCTTCCCCTTGAGCAGGACAAAAGCCCCTAATCCCATGTGGCTCAAAGTGGCTGAGCAATGGGTGTGCAGACCCAAGGTGCCAAGGAGAGCAGAAAGGAGCTGCTGGAAGCACATCTTCAGCAAGCCTCTCGGCAGTCCTGGGCTGAGGATCTCTCCTAGATGGAAAAGCCATGGTCACTCTAAGTCTCTGTCCTCTGACACTGCCGCCGGCACCATGGAAGACTCTACTCCAGTCACTTAAAGGGTAGAAGGGAGCCAGACATTGCTATTATTCTCATGCTAAGGCTAGACCTGGGACTACCGCATGTTTGTGGTACTCTGGCTAAATGAAAGGATCCACAGCAGCTGCTTTTAAACTAACCAGCCCAAGGACACCCCTGGTGAAAGTTCATGTAAGACATTTTGCAATGCCTATTCCAGCCTCAAGCGGGGGCAGGATGCTGTCTCAGGCCTTTGGCATTATCTGGCCAGCACTAATAGCACTAATAGCATTGTGCCCTGTGCTTTGTCTCTCAGTCACGGCCAACTCTCTGCGAGTCAGACCACAGGCAGACTGTAGCCTGGACTGTATAGACTATAGTAGCCTGCCAGGCTCCTTGAGAATACTGGAACGGGTTGCCACGCCCTCCCCCAGGGGATCTTCCCAGTCTACGAATTGAACCCAGGTCTCCTGCACTGCCGGCAGATTCTTTACTGTCCGAGTCAGCAGGAAAGCCCCAGCATTATGCCCTAGCTGTGTCAAACCTGGCAGGCTATAGTCCATGGGGTCGCAAAGAGTCAGACACAACTTAGTAACTAAACAACTAGCTGTAGCATATGTAAAAGCCAGCAGGAAATAGGCAATGAAAAACATTCTGATTTAGGTTAAGACTTTCACCCTTACTTGTACAATTAGCCCTTCATATGCATGAGTTTCACACCACACATTCAACCAGCCTCAGATCAAAAATAGTAGGGGGAAAAAAGAAAGGTGGGAGGGAAGGAAGGGAAGAAAGAAAGAAAGAGAAACTTCCAGAAAGTTCCCAAAGGCAAAACGTACTTGCTGCACTCCAGCAACTATTTGCATGGCATTTTATTAGGTATTATAGGTAATCTAAAGATGATTTAAAGTATACATGAAGATGTGCACAGGTTATATGAAAATATTATGCAATTTTATATAAGCATTGAGCATCCATGGATCTTGGTATCCACAGAGGTCCGGAACTAAATCTCTTATGGATATGGAGTAACAACTGTAGCTCCAATCTTGAAAAGCTACTGACTTCCTAGACCTGGTTCCTTTCCAAGAAGGGTATAACACTCAGTAAAAATACAGATTCTGGGGCCAGAGTGACCTGGGTTCAAAGTCTGGCGTGAACACTAATTAACCATATTACCTAGACAGATTGGCTTATTTTCTATGTCTCAGAGTTCTCATTTGTAAAATAAGAATAAAATACAACACCTAATTCATTGGGGATACTGTGAAGATTCAAAAAGTTAACACAAGCAAAACAAAGAACTGTGTCTGGCAATGGCTCTTGAGTTACTGAGCATTAAGAATTATTGGATTAGCTGTCATTCCAAAGACTCTAGTGTTCGCTCATTCTTCTTTCTTTTCCCACCTTCCAGGACTTGACCTCCTAACCTCCTGCCTACCAGACGTCTGATAAAACAGATCTCTAGTCCTAATTTTTCAAGGACAAACTTGGTTCATTGTCAACCATCCCCTTTCACTACCATACAGTCCCATCATGAAAATAAAGCCAGAGGAAAAAATGCTTCCTCACCAAATTACACTATTAAGTTGAAGTCAAAGCATTATATGAACTACATTTTCTTATAAGAACTAGAAATCATAGCCCTTACCCTCTATATCTCAGGTTACTAATATGTTCATTAAAATCACTAGGAGTTTCAACATTTGCAGTGAAGCAAATTTGGTTATACTAATAACATACTAAAATAAAAATATTTCCAAAAATCTTATTTCTACTCACCTTCCATTCTTCAGAGCTCTTGGATTCAGTATTTTGATACCTGGCTACCTAGAAGATTTAGTACACATGGTCAGTCCCCAGAAATTTCCAAGGCAGCAGGTGTTAACATATCACATAGTTAGGAGTAGTTGTCAAATTTTAGCATGCATCAGAATCACCTGGAGGCCTTGCTAAAACACAAATTGCCATGTCCCATGCCCAGAGAGTCTGGTTCTGTAGGTCTGAGTTAGGACCTGAGAATTTACATTTCTAACAAGGTCCTAGTTGATCCTGACTCAGCTGGTCTGGGGATAACACTTCGAAAACCATGGCTTATGAGGAAGAGAATGAGCATCTAGCTATATGAATGCCATATGAGCAGAATAAGGGATAATTTGGATGATATTTTAAAGAAAGGAGCTTTCTAGGAATTTACTATTCTCATCTGACTGGAACAGGCACAACCTCTTTTAGCTTATAGTAAATGACAGGTGCAGTTTTAGATATAAAGTTTTCTTTTTCATACATCCCTATCCTGATACTTACTGGCAGAGCACAGGCAAGTCCCCACAGGAACATAAGCAGGATGGTGGTCTTCATAGTCATGTGTGTTACCCCTACCTGTGATAAAAGACAGAAGATGATTTTCTCCACACCAAAGAAATACAAGAGCTTCAACTTTTAACACTTTCAATGGACATTTAGTTGAGTTTATTTTTAACTGAGGAATAGATAAATAAAATGCGCTATATCCATGCAATGGAATATTATTCAGCCATAAAAAGGAATGAAGTATTGATGCATGCTTCAAAGTAGAGGAATCTTGCAAACATCATATTGAGTGAAAGAAGCCGGGCACCAAAGATCATATACTGTATGATTCCATTCATAGGAAAGGTCCACTGAAGGCAAATCTATAGAGACAGAAAGTAAGTAAGTGTTTGCCCAGGGCTAGAGCAGCTACACACAGCACAGCACAGGGAGATCAGGGCTTCCCTGATGGGTCAGCAGGTAAAGAATCTTCCTGCAATGCAGGAGACAAAGGAGGTGTGGGTTCAGTCTCTGGCTGTGGAAGATCCCCTAGAGAAGGAAAATGACAACCCACTTCAGTATTCTTGCCTGAAAGTCCCATGGACAGAGGAGCCTGGCCAGCTACAGTCCAGAGTCACAAAGAGTCGGACATGACTGAGCAACTGAGCAGTAAAGAGAAGATGAGGGGTTGGAGTGACAGCTAACAGGTGAATTTTGGACATAATGAAATGTTCTAAAATTGATTTTGGTGAAGGTTGTTAAACTCTATGAGTATACAAAAAAATAATTAATGGTATACGTCAATGGATGAAGAATACATGCGTGAATTGTTAGGTTTATTAGCGGTTTTTAAAAAAACCTCACTCCCAAGAGATAAATCGAAAACTTTTCAATGAGAAGCTCTATAAATAGTTTTTAACTAACACATAAGCTATGATACATGAAGGAAAATAAAGAAAGAGCAATAGAGAAATTTCTGATCTTTCAGTTTGATACTGATTATGCAGCCCAGTATGTCAGAACAGACTGTCAAATATCATCCCACCAAAAAACTACATTATTGATACCACTGACAGATGTGGGCATTTGTCTTCACACACACACACACACACACACGCATGCAGGGATCCTCAATCATGTTTATAACCTCATAATAACATCTAAACAAATGCAATTGGTTTTGCTTTTTTTTCTTCATCTGCAAGAAATCCATTATGGTAGGCTTCATATTATGGCTCCAGAAAGCATTTCATATCCACTGTGCTCCTTTTAGTCATACATTATACATGATTATGCTAAATTTTTTCAGCGTCATTCACAGTACTGAAAGATCCAGGGAAGATTAGAGGTTTGGGATACACTTGTGAATCACACTGAGAGAAACCTGCCAAATCAAACTGTATTTTCCTGGAGGGTGGCTTCATTTCACACCTCAGGAGCTGGTGGTTTGGAAAACAATTTGTTCTATACCTAAAAATAAATGTCCTCAATGCTAATGTAAAAAGTTATTGAAGTGATTTAAAAGGAAAATAATTTGCCTGGTATTCATGAGCCCTGGGGCTGCCCTAACAGATGGACGTCCAAATACTGTATGGAAAGTCCTGCAGGCTGATTTCAGACTTCACTCCTCCTGATTTGTGTCTTTAAATGTTAAATATTTACTATGCTGATGACAAAAGATCTATGCCAGGGACTTCCCTGGCAGCCCAGTGGTTAAGACCTTGTACTTCCAATGCAAGGGGTGCAGGTTCGAACCCTAGTCAGGGAACTAAGAGCCCACATGCTACACAGCCAAGAACAAAAACAAAAAATTATCTAAGACAAAGATCCCCAGGCTTGGCTGTATATAAGTATCACCTGGGGAGATTTAAAGCAATCAGTCAGTCACTCAGTCATGTCCAACCCTGGCAGGCTCCAGTCCATGGAATTTTCCAAGTAAGAGAGTGAGTTACCTTTTCCTCCTTCAGGAGATCTTCCCAACCCAGGGATCAAACCCATATCTGCATTGGCAAGCAGAGTCTTTACCACTAGCAATACCAGTGCACAAATCACACCACAGGGTAATAAATCTGTCCGCTGAAGGTGGAAACAAGCATGGGTTTGTTTTTAAGGTGCTCCAAGTGAATTCAACCTCTGATTCCAGAAATAATTGTACCTTGCTCAATAATGACTGAATACACTGAATAATGTCTGAAACATTGGGCTCAAGAAATCATCTAGTCTAATTTGTTTAAATTTATTCAGGAAAACAATAGAAATCCTAAGATAAGGAGACTGAGAAGGTGCCTACCTCATTTCTACAATTCTACACCCAAATGGTCCAACAGAGCCACTCATCCCTCATCTTGAGCATATTCCTCATCAGCCTCACTATGCTTTGTGTTATTTTCTTCATCCTAATTCACCATACTTTATATCAGTCCATGTGCTTTAATATTATTTTGATTCCTTTGTCAAATCCTTCACCTAATATCAACAATGTGAAAATGTTCAACTGCCCCTAAAACAAGCCTAATTCAACTTTTGAAGGAAACCAGAATATCTCATCCCAAAATATGCTTCCGACACAAAAATTCTGTTGAGCTGAAGGCAGTTAAGAAAGAGCAGATGCCAGAAGGGTGGTCTGATTCTTCTTTTCCTATCTGGAAGCAGGAGATAAATCCCATGTGAAAGCTGCCCCCTGTCCCAGCAGGAGGAAGACAGTCTCTTTATTAGAGATGGAGGCAAGGCTGAGGGATTCTGCAGAAACAGACCTTGTTAAACTAACCCAATCTTCCTGGGGACTTCTCCACAAGCTACTAGCCCTAGTTCAGATCCCCTGTGTCTTGTCAGTTCTTCACAAATGTGTTGTTTCTTTGCCTAAATATTGCAAAAGCTTCTGTTCCAGTCATTTTGGGTCCTCATTCTCTTGGGAAGGCACCCGTGTACATGTGGAAATTTTAGTAAAACTTGTAGGCTCTTCTTCTGCTCTTCTGTCTTCTGCCAGTTTAATTTTTAGGCCCAGTCAGAGACCCTAAGAAAGTAGAGGAAAATTTTTCCTCCCCTACACTTTAGTTTCCACAATCAAAACATCTTTTAAGTTCTTAGGTTCATTTATTTTAAAAAAAAAAAAGTCTTTATTGAATTTGTTACAATACTGTTCCTGTTTTTTTTATGTTTGGTGTTTTTTAACCCCAAGGCATGTGGGATCTTAACTCCCCAACCAGGGATCGAATCCTCACCTGATGCACTGGAAGGCAAAGTCTTAACCACTGGACCACTAGGGAAGTCCCTTAGGTTCATTTCATAAGGAAAGTTTCTGCTGAATACAATACTATCAAAATAACTCTATGCCAATGGTGTTGGCTTCATAGGTCTAATGGCTCACCATTTTAATTTTCAAAGTGAAATCTGAATATAATAACAACTTCATGGTACTCTGAAAACTGGTAAATATTCCAGTCTTGATTAAAAAGCCAACAAATATTGAGTTCTCCTCTTATATTTTCTTTTGCTTCTCTCTAATATAAATAACAAAACAATGAAGCAGTGCTCTAACACTAGTGAATGTTGTGTGTTTTACGAAGGAAGGGCATGCTTCTAGTGCTCAGTTTTGCAGGGATGGAATATTATGAACTGCAAGAAAGATGCAGCAACTTGCTCATGCCTCTAGAAATACCATTTAGCACCCTGACTCAAAGTCATAATTTTCCAAGTGGAAGTCTAGTAAACTAAAATAAAATACACCCTGGGGTCCTGAGAGAGTTGATGCTGCCTCCCATAGAATATAGTCTGCCATCAAGCATTAAAGTCAGAGCTTAAACCCTATGCTAGGTTTTCAATGAGTGTTTTTGATCAAAATAATTATACTTGTGTGAAGTATATTCCAGAGGAGAGCTCCAAACTCTTATAAACTTTTTTACCAACCACCCCAAAAGTGTAGAAGCAGATATGCAATAGCCCTATTCTGGGTAATAAATGAGCAAAAGAGCTACAAGCATGAAAAGATGGATCCAGAACCCCAAGTTCTTCTTCAGTGATCGGTAAGTGTCACCTCTACATTGCATGTGCTGTCATTCTACAATGAGAACACATAACAAAAGGAAATACACAAGCCCAAGACTGCCAGGAGAAATATCAATAACCTCAGATATGCAGATGACACCACACATATGGCAGAAAGTGAAGAACTAAAGATCCTCTTGATGAAAGTGAAAGAGGAGAGTGAATAAGTTTGCTTAAAACTCAACATTCAGTAAACTAAGATCATGGCATCTGGTCTCATCACTTCATGGCAAATAGATGGGGAAACAATGGAAACAGTGACAGACTTTTTTGGGGGGGGCTTCAAAATCACTGCAGATGGTGACTGCACCCATGAAATTAAAAGACCCTTGCTCCTTGGAAGAAAAACTATGACCAACTAGACAGCATATTAAAAAGCAGAGATATTACTTTAACAACAAAGGTCCATCTAGTCAAAGGTATGGTTTTTCCAGTAGTCATGTATGGATGTGAGAGTTGGACTATAAAGGAAGCTGAGTGCCAAAGAATTGATGCTTTCGAACTGTGGTGTTGGAGAAGACTCTTAAGAGTCCCTTGGACAGTAAGGAGATCCAACAAGTCCATCCTAAAGGAAATCAGTCCTGAATATTCGTTGGAAGGACTGATGCTGAAACTGAAACTCCAATTCTTTGGCCACCTGATGCGAAGAACTGACTCATTGGGAAAGACCCTGATGCTGGGAAAGATTGAAGGCAGGAAAAGAGGACGACAGAGGATGAGATGGTTGAATGGTATCACCAATTCTAGGGACATGAGTTTGAGTAAGCTTTGCGAGTTGGTGATAGGGGAGGCCTGGCATGCTGCAGTCCATGGGGTGGCAAAGAGTCGGACACGACTGAGCAACTGAACTGACGGACAACCTAAATTTTAGTTCCACCTGTTTGGAAGTGTGTGTTTTAGATGCTTTTAACCTTTACGAGTTTTTTCCCCAGAGTCAAGAAAATCCAAAATGTTCAGGATCTGGAGAAGGGTATTTCAGTCTCTTTCCTCTCTGGCCACCCTCAAGTAGTGCAGAATTTCTAGAA